CAAAAACAAAGTATGAATAAAAAAAATTATGTAAAAAAAAAAAAAAAAAAAACACAAATGCGCCATAGAAATATAGATGTTACTTATACAGAGAATTTTCTAAAGGCCAAGAACTAAATGTATCAAGGGTTAGAAAAGGGGCAATCGATATCTCAGCTTTGGATTCAATTTGAAATGACAACACACAGCATTATTAGCTTCATTCAGATTTATGCAGAGCCTGTAAATATGTCATTCTGCACTGTAAAATTAATTTTAATGGTGATACCGCTTTTATAGACCGGTTCTTTCATTTCAACATAGGTTTCATTAATGTGTATGTTTTGGTGCGGCAATTGTGAAAGATCTATAACTGCCCACTTGACTTTACACGACTCCAAAGTTCACGCTCTGTATATTTGCGTATTCACACACTAAAATTAACAAGAACAGAATGTACAGAGGACATGAGAACAAACATGCCTCTACCTGAACAGGTAGACACACTAACCCTCACACACACACACACACTTTTACGTCTGTCACACATGCACATAAGATTGAGGCCTAAATAGTGAGCAATAATAGGGGACTTGTAGCACACTGGTGTTAAAGAAACTGATCTACTATAATAAAGTAATCGACGCTGACGCACATACGTGCTTCAAGCAATCAGTGTGCATCAACAGTCCTCAATGCTTTATAACATCAATAGATGATCTGTATTATGTATTGTACGGTTACAAGCTATCGTAAAATTGGCTTTTACCTCCCTAAAAGACAGCAAACCTCCAAAAACAGACATCTTGTAGTGTGCAAGTCGTTTTAATTATGACAGCGAGAAAACATACGTTTGATTTTGCTTTAACATAACTGTTGGTAGTAAAGATACTGCTAGGATTTAAGCAATATTTAAACTGAATTTTTAAATTTTCACTTGAGCATAAAAAGGTAAAAAATCTATGGGTATTTTTATGCTTTTCTCTTAAGTTTGTTGATTGTGCAGCAACAAATTTAAATGGCAAAGCAACACTACATTGCCATCAAAAACATTTTGCTCTCCAATTCAGGACTATCAAATAAAACAGTCATACCATGTTGCTTCTGCAAAACGGAACATGCATGTGTATGCAAATAATATTATATATATATATAAAATGTTGGTTCCATGTACACGGTCACCATTAACTACTGCAACATACTGACCCAATTAAAATAAAATGCAGTTTTGCCTAGAAATTAAAAACAAGGTCATTCAAATACTCACTGACGTATCAATTCTCAAAATTAAAATAAAATAAACTACACAGTCAATCCTAGCAATGTAACGCTATATAGAGTAAGGCCTGGAGACGAAACTGAAGTTGTACAGGCTGTAAGGGACATTTGTGGCACTTTTCCACTGTGTGGTACGACTCGGCTCGGCACGGCTCAGTACGGCACGGTTCGGCTCGGCACGGTTTGAGTTTCCACTGCAGTTCAGTACCGCTTTAGAGTGGGCGGGATTATTCACATGTCGTTATAGTTGCGCCGCCTCTACTACCACGACTCCTAAAAAAAAACTTTTTAATTCCGTGTCGCCCCATCAAGGAAAGTGAACCGTACCGAGCCGTACCGTACCATGCAGTGGAAAAGCGCCATTGCACTCATGAAGAGTGTAGATGTCAAGAGGAAAACAATCACTTGGAGTCATCTCAGGAATTATCAAAAATGCATCACAACTTGCATTCAACATCTGTGTGATTCCTGTACATGTTTTCCCCAGCGTGTTTACTGTGTCAAAAATCCAAGGCAACGCAATCCAAATTTGATTCTGTAAACTATAACCAGTGAGGCAAAAATACCACAGGTACTGTAGCGCTTATGCTCATTTTTAAAAGGGAACAGCTCCCTTAGAGAAAACATGGGAAAACGGTTTATTTAATAATAAATAATTTGAGCTTCAAATTATGGGTTGTGAGCGATACTACAGAATACAAGTTGTCCATGCTTCACTAAAAATCCACTGTGGCAAAAGCTCTGACAGAATTACATAAACTAAAACGGCAATACACACATTCACCATTTAATCAAAAAAAAAAAAACTTACCTTACACGCACACAAGCGCATCAAATCTACTAAAAAGGCACAGAGTTAATAAAGAAAACATTAGCACTCAGCTGAATGATCAGAGAGACATGTGTGAGAAAAAAAAAGCCAAGGCCAAGCATGTATAGGTGTATGCAGCGGGGCAAGTGACTTAAAAATAACAAAAATTAAATAAAAACCACACACCAAAAACTACTTAAACATTAAAAAACAATGCCATTTGGTAAACCTTCACATTTTTATTTATTTTTGTAAAATCAGCTTTAACTAAAAGTACAGCCGTATGACATTCCTAGTTTCTCACGTACGAATTAAAAACTTCCCTTTTCTTTTGAGGAATTTGGTGGGATTGGTGTGCTTTTCCAGCCCTGGTCTGCATTCCGGTGGGAATGTAATATGGAATGTTCTCCTACAGCAGATTAAGCTATAGGAGCCCAGGAAACACGGCCGAACGTTATAATTCACAAGCCAGTGACTCCATCACGAGAACTCACAACTCGGTCTGAATCAAGATACTTCAATATTTAGTTTTAGTGTAAATGAAACAAAAACTAAATGGAGATCATTCCAGCCATAGCTGATATTAATGCACAAGTTAAGAACAAAATTACATCTACAAGTAGAAAAAAAAAAGAAAATTACCACCAAATAATAATAAATAAAAAAAGCTATATATTGTTTAACTTTAAAACCAAAAAAAAAAACTCAATTAATTAGGGCAGGATTGAAGCATACACAAATAAAAACAAATTGAGAAATATAATTGACACTAATTTAGGCTGAATGTGATACGCCACACTAAATTGAATTTTTTTCTCAATTTTTAGCAATTGAAACCAAATTTTAAAAAGAACGCAAAATACCTAGCTATATTATTTTCTTACAGATTGCAATCATAGAAAATTGTTATGAGTGACAAAAATAATTTACAAAAAATAGCATTAATATTTAAAACATAGCGAAGTTAGCAGCCCTGCAATATTAAATAAAATCTTTAAAAGCAACAAAGACTGACTGTCCACACAAAGGTTCCAACTTTTTCCACACACAGAGTATCTGTTCTAGCTGAAGACCCTTTTCCCACACTCTCTTCTAGCAGTTGGGGCCCCCCTTTAAGCCACACGTGTGCATGCACACACACACACATACAGTGCAAGCTCTGAGCAAAAACGGCTGTGCTAGTAATCGAGGAAGCTAGCCATGAGAAAGGAAAATGGCGTATGAAACGAAACTTCTAAAGGCCAATGGGCTGTCCATGCAGGCTCCGCTCAGTGTACACACAAGCCTGGTTGAAGAACGGTGTCACAATCAACATGTTTTTAATGTATGAAGCATCTGAACTATGCTACCAAATTACAATTTTTCATTAAAAGGAAAATTATATATTAATGCAGGGTAATGTAAACATTAATGTGAATATGTATATATAATTATAGTAGGTCCTCCACACAGCTTTGTACACACCCTGACCAAACTAAAGCTTCCAGAAAACGGCTCCATAAAATGCACACCACCCCTTGGTACATTCACACACACACACACACACACTCACTCAAGAGGCCACACTTTACCCAACTTTCATATTTTTTTGTGTGTGTAAAGGTGGGCAGGGCCTAAGCCGAGACTCATATGATAGAATGCAAGATCACTCCCATCATGCATTTCACTATACTTAGCTCTCATTGGCTTGCAGTTCAAACCAGCTTTACATACACAACCTCTGACCTGCTCCTATCAACATTACATATGTGCAGCATATACACACAAAATAAACACTTATACACTTAACACTTAAATTATACTGTTTCCATAATTTACACAGTAACCTCAGCATATTAAGCGATTGTTTTTGATACACTGTTAGTGTATAAAAATTAAACGGCAAATAAACTGTTCACTTAATGTCCTGTCAGCTTAAAAGATCAGCTGGCCCATCAAGAATTGAACTAGCCTCAACATGTGTTTAACCATTACGAATTTAAAAAAAAACAAAAAAAAAACAGGCCTACTTTAGTCAAAATAAACAAATCACAAACACTACGTAGCATTAACTTAAATTAAACGTGCTAAATGCTTCAATTTATCGTTTTAACTAAACAAAACCACCATTAACCTAAACCGCGTACAATTCACGTGGAAACTGCGTTATTTTTGACTGACAACTCACTATAAAAAATATTACCCGCTAGTTATTCATAAATTAAAAATACAGGACGCCGAGAAATTAATAAACAGCTTATATGTACATGATGCAGTCGTAAAGTGAAAATAAGGCGAATATTCATTATATCTGTAGTCGTTACGTCAACTTAATTACTACAATAAAACGGCAACCCACTCGCACACGGTTGGTAAACAGTGCTTTGTGGCTTACACCACGTCTCGTTACAGTTCCTGTGAACCCACAAACAGGTTTTCGTGACAAGACCTCGACCCTTGCAGTCCACGCGCGCTGAGGAGTCCATCTCGTGCCTGAGCAGCGCGAGGAGGGGAGAGAGGGGGCGGAAGCATTGAGCGGCATGACTGAATAGTAGTTTCTTCTTTAATGGACGCCACAGCAAGCATGGCTCCATAAATGCACATCCATGTGCAACGTGAGGTCCCATTTATAACGTTTGCGTTCTCACTTTGCACACCTCTGCTGCGTTTCTTGCTACGTTTTGTCAAGGCCTAAAGGCCCAGTAATATGTGAACTCAGCATATCAAGGGCCTCAGATGTATTACAAAAACTCACATTCCGCACGTTGACATGGAGGTTCAATCAGTGGCATACACATCTTTTTTTGTTACTAAACACGCCTGTGGATTTACATTTAAAGCAGGTAGCCTACATAAAACACCGTCACCACCCTAATCTTGAATTTCGCTTGCAAATAACAGTTTGATGGATAATAAGAACGTAAAAACAAATCAAATGAGAGCCATTTCAAAGATTAAAAACAACAAGAAGCCCGACTTAAAATCAGGGCTTGTCAGGAAAAAATTTGGAGATAATTATTCAAAACAAAAACGTGGACTTTTAGCCATTTTTTAGATGCAATTGAGAAATTTACAAATGAATCTTACCTTTGTCGTTTAGGGACAGAGTGCTCCACTTCTAAGAATTTTCCGTGGAGTTCTACTTTCCCTGAAAAATATTAATTGTATTTTAATAAATCACATTTTATTTCAAACAAAGTCTATTATGTGTCAAAGGTTCACAATGTGCGAAAGAGCAAAAAAAAAAAATGCTATTTACGCTACGTGTACAGAAACTACACTGACATGTACGATTTCAAGAATCTTCACGACAACCCAAAACAAAATTAGTTTTAGTTAAAAAATAAAATACATACAAAATTTCCCAGAGGATAAACATGGAAGACAAATTTGCCCCCACGCTTGCGCGAAGGCCTCAGCTACGAGCAGCGTGACACTGATTGAAGAAAATCACGAAAACGTCCACTGACTTATACGGTCTCTTCATGGCAAATATTGCAGCCTTTACACAATTTACACTCGTTCCAAACATAATCAACCCATATTGTAGAGACCGGGGAGTAGTCGAAAGGCCTACAAGCCACCAGTGCAACCCAACCACCTGGTGTTCCAGAGCTCGTAATTACAGCGATAAAAGTGATACATTTTTACAATGGCAAAGTTCGCAAAACCACCAGTTCTGTGTAACACTTTAGTTCACTTTCAGAGAGTGCTCCACGAGCTGCGTTTAAAAGCCACACGAAACACCTAAAGCATTTAAATTCAAATAAATAGTATGTGCAACCACTCGCCGCTTGGATATCCGAGTTGTTAAAACACGTTATTTCACATTTCGCCCTACACAGTGCACACACAAGTAACGCTGCAACTTTGATGGACAGTTGCCGTTCAGTTATTTTGATACTAAAGCGAGACTTGGCGTTCTCGGCGAGTAAAGCCCGTGGTTTAAAAAAAAAACTGAAAGTGAATAGTCTACACTTGCTCAGTGTACGAACACATCCCTGCTTTGCATAGGCGTCTAATTGTTAAACGCGACCGTTGCATGTACATTGTACCGTAATTCATTTGGAGGGTGGACAAAACCACATAGGCTACGCACAAAAGTCTCACCTGAAAGAGTGTCAATGGCCCTCATCGCTACCTTTTCGTCGGGGCAATCCACAAACGCGTAGCCACTTTTTACGAGAAAGGGTGCACTGAAAGGTATCTTCCACTGCTCAAAGATACTTTCCAAGTCCAGCGCGCTCGCCTGCTCGCTCACGTTTCCGATGTAGAGCTTATTCATTTTGTTGTATACGGAAAAGAGCGACCGTGTTGCAGAGGGGCAGCCCTTTATCGCGTCGCTCGGATGGGCAGTGTTTGGAGAGAGAGAGAACCACACTGTCGCTCAGCTGAGGGTCTGGGAGTGTTCTCCCAATCACTCCTAGCTACTGAGATATTTGATGGACGAGATCGCCGCCGTGCTTGCGCGCACTCGCGTTTCCTCTTGATTTAAACGCGCTGAATTATTTATTCCGTCACCTCTGCGAGGCAAGGGCCGGGAAGATAGAGAAAGTTTCTTTATTATTTGGCGATGCGACTAAATTGTCACACACGTTTGTGTAGGCACCGCCTCTTAATAACATCGAGAGAACGGGAAACAAAACAAAAAAAACTAAATTATTCTGCCTTTTTCAATGAGTCACGTGTTCAAACTACAAATCAGTCCTGCACGTGAGGTGTCCCGGTTGCTCAATTAAGTGTCGGATTGGGGGGAAATGGCACAGGGATGACTGAGAGAGAGAGAGCGAGAGAGTAAAACCTCTCTACGTTCATTTGCAGAGATCCCGTGCAAAAAAGCTCGTTGTACCCGTTCAATGATATTCCGTTCGGTGGACTTTTCTCTACTAATGCCGTTCTGCGCTCTTATTGGTTGTTGGTGGAGTTGTAAAGAGGCGTTGCACGCACGCTAGCTCGCCTCACAACGCGTGGAAGCAGCGCTGAGGCTTTATCTGAGCTTATGGTGGGCTGCCATATAGGGGACGAGGGGGTGGGTCTGCCATTCATACAGCATCTACACTATTTCTTACTCCATTTTCTATACACTGTATGACATACATGCCATAGGGGTATGGTAAACCTCTAAACAATTGAGACCACATTCAATCAAGCGAGATTCTTTTTCTCTCCCATTCCACGAAGAAAAATCCTACACGTGCAACTACGTATAATTATTTACACAGATACATATGTGAAGCATTTTGCGTTACTCTAACGCAGCTTCTTCTTAACTATACATGCCTACAGTTTTTGACAACTGTGGCCTAGTGTAACGTGACCTAACCAAATTGAACAAAGCGAATATACACTTCCGGTGCCTAAAGAAAGGGGAGGGCCATGCGGAACATAGAAAAGTCGTAATGGCGAGTGGTTAAGGCGGGCCTCCTTCTGGCACAGCGGGGAGGAGATCATAGGCCTGTGTGTTGGTTCATGCAATATTCCTCTGACTTCTTCCCCGAAAATTCGCCACATTTCTTTCACTGTTCCGCAGAAACAGACTGGAGTTGCATAATATCTGGATGTGCGGCCTGCAAATCGCTCGACCTTCCACGTAAAGCGGAGACATTTACGCTGGGCCCACGCCCTTATGCGCCTCTTTCTCTCTCCCCCTCTTTTTCTGTCACACACACATACACACATAGGTCGTGCTGGGTTTCTTTTAAAATATGTGTCTGTACGCATATAATGTCAGATTTGATAAATATTCAAGTTGTATAATATTTGCATCGCAAGTTTAGGATATGACACGTTCGACAGATTTCTATTAATTAAGACGGATTCAGATTTTACGCCCTTACTGGAAACCGCTAGATGTGAGGCACTGCTTGGGGGTTGTTCCGAACAAAAATGTCCAATAAATGACTTTCGTGGTTTTCCATAAGGCCGATAGGAAAGCGTAGCCTATATCAGACGGTCACGTCAGGATTTTTTTTCTGTTTATGTTTACGTGTTGGCGCGTCCTAATTTAATTTGAGTGAATTTAGGTAATTTATTTGGAATGTTACCTGACGTTTAAATTAAATGAGAAATATTCCTAAAATATTTTCGTCTTTGATTTACTAATCTCCACAAAGAAGCCCACACACGTTTATTTAGGCCTAATTTGAATCAAAGACAATCATGCTGATACATTTTTACAATTTTCTATAACAATATTAACAACCATAAGCATGCATATTGTTCGAGATAAATTGATTTAAAATAAACTGTTAATGTTCTGCACCTTAAGAGCACTTTCGTTATATAGTGATGGTTTCGAATTAATTTCGTCCTTGTTTGATACTACTAGCCTAATTAAACTTCTCCTTGTATCATACACGTTCAACTTTATATAATTTAATTAATTTTACTTTATTTAATTTTCAGCCCTGGCCATCTTTCCAAAACAATATTTTTATGGCATAAGCAATGGCGGTTTCTCTCTTTTTTTTTCTCAACGATTTACTTTTATCTCAGATTCTGCCTTACCAATATTTATTTAGCCTTTTTAACACATACACACACGCACGCACACACACTGAACTAGAGTAAGCCATAGATCATGTTTTGTTCTATATTAGCAGTAAAACTGCTACGTTGCTCATTTAAAATCATTTGTACAAAGAGTCCTGAAATCCTAATTAGGAATTTTTTTGTAACTGAATAGAAATAGCTTTTTTTAATGCCATAGATATTAACTTTAAATGGCAACTAAAAGTGTAAAAATTAACAACATCTGATTTCTCAATGTGTTATTGTGGGTAAAGTCAGACACCATGGGCCTGGATGCCAGTAGTATAGCTAGCACAACTGAAATACTACTGTAGAATGGCACGCACATGATGAGCTCCTATTGGTCGAACAGGACACCAATGAAAGCGCAGCTCCTTTCTGCTTTTCTACTCTCGCCGACTGCTGCATCGACTGTTCATTCATTGGTTTTCATCCGCAACTCTTCGGTACAAATCCAGGCGCGAAAAAAAGTCTACTATGGGGTAGAATTACTTCATCCAGTTTCAAAATTAGAAACCGGAACATATTATGCACCATACATTTTCTCTCCGTTTGAGTTTAAAAGGTAAAAAACATGCAAAGAAAAGAAAATATGGAGGAGGACTTCGTTTTCATGAGGTATTTCTAGGCAGTTCGCATGAATGTGTTATATATTCAACATTTTCTGATTCTGCAAACTTGGTTGTGTCTTTACAGATGTGGCGGAAAGTCTTAGTTTATGCAATGCCTTTAGATACCCAGTCCTTTTGTCTAGCACACATGTGAGGATTCTCCCCCCCTCATTCGTTGGTCAGATCGGAAGCTTATTTTCATACTATTGCCCCCTTTTTGCACCGTCCATTTCCTATAGTAAACTTTTGTATAGAATGTGATAATGAATACGTACTTTATATAATCACTAAATCTACATTCGTACAGCATGTTTGTGAGGTTGCTTTAAATGCATGTTATTGGAAAGGAATGCGACCCGTTGCTCCACCCGTCAGGGGAGACGTTTTCTATAGGAAAACATTGTTTATGTAGGCTAGTAAGTTATGCGGATCGAGTGTAGTATGTCGGTTAGACGAAAAATATCTACGGGCTTTACTTAAAAGTAGGGCTGCACGATAAATCGCATGCGAGTAGTAGAGCTACTGCAAGCGATTTTTAGTGCTGCAAATCCATTTACACTTTGCTGAAACTTCCGCGTCTTCATGGACAGCGCAGGTCAAGGTTGCTTAGCAACGGCAGACGCCTCCGGAGCGCAAGCGCCCGAACGCTTTGGGAAAAAGCAGAAAGCGGCGCGCCTAGCGTTTTCCACGCGTTTTTAGGCGCGACATGTGAATGGCCCCTTAGGGACCCAAACGGTCAAATAAATACGTACGTAGCCTATATATTATATACAGACAAAAGGCTAACAAACGCAACAACTGCTGCCTTCGCTTTCGTTGAAGAACACTGGAATTAAGCACTATGTAAGTTTAAAAGTATTTTTTTTGTACCGTTTCAGATTTCAGGTACTTTTTGCGTGTTTTTAGCCTATGCTCCCTGTTGAGCGAATGTATGGAACATTGTGTGCAGTTAACGCCATGTTTATGCGAAGATTTGCTTTCAGATACATTCACAGAAGTTTTGTGTATAGCAACCAGCTATGTGTAAACGTTATTTTTGAACCAGTAATTTGTTGGAAACCGACTACTACTTTTCTGTTGATTATGTTTTAAGGATATAATTTTTTGACAGTTTAGTCGATGTTTATGTTCTTGACTGCATTAACCACTGTGTATTTATACAGAAAATGGCGGTACTGATTCACTTCCAGTAGTTTTTTTTTTTTACCTGTTTCCTGTGTTTATGTCAAAGAACTCATAGTTCATTCATTTGCGTTACAATTACATACAACAAACTTCTTTAGGTTACTAATATCATCCCAAGGAATGTGTTGAGTGTTTAGTCATTAGTTGTTTTAGGGTACGTACGTTCATTCAGATATTCATTCACTTTATACTGTTTCGCTGTTTTTAAGAATGTTAAAAGAATGTTTTTGACTTTGAAAGCTCAAATGTAATTTTTTTTTTTTTTTTAAAGTTACGTAATCAGAAATTTGTATTATTATTATTATTATTATTGTGCTTTACACTATGTAAAGTTGGAAGTTTTACATATTTACTTAGATATTTTATTTTGAGATACTTGCATTTTTTTTAAGGAATTATGAAATGATGATGATGATTATGATGATGGTCGTCCAAAAAAAGCAAATAAATAAAACAAAAAAATAAACAAACCTTGGCCTACATAAGTTATTTGTAGGCCATGTCCTATATAAATCTGTCCTTGTATAGTCTCGAGTATTTGTTAAAATTCATAAGTTTATTTTCAATGATCTTTTACTGAGCTTAAAACAAAATTGAGACAGACAAATATTTGTCTCAAATCATTTTAAGAACAAAAACAAGTTAGCGTAACCTGTGTGACGAGGTGGGCCTGACCTTTGACTGTGGGGCCTCAAAAATCAAAGCACTGCAAACTTTATCAGGGCCTCTTTTTTTTTTTTAAGCTAATGAACAGAGGATTGGAAATAAAAAGTTTTTATTTAAATGTTTAATACATGCTTGGTTAGAGGCCTGTTTGAGTGCAGTGCATAACGTCTGAATATCTTAACAGACCTGTAAAACAAGTCCAATCCTATATTCATTGTCTCAAGCAGAACAAAGCTAGATAGACATAAGTTGTCACACACTTAAATAAATATAAATTGTTTAATAGCCTACATTGGCGTTAAGAATGCCCTTGGTTTCTGGAAATTATTTTTGTAAAGTACAAGAATAATAATAAATTGTACTTTGCAGGCTGTGATATTTTGAGTGGTTTTAATGTAAGGCCAGAGTTTATAGCATTTCGAGTTAATTCAGAAATGGATACTGTATTTTTTCTGTTTTAATAGGTGTGGTTGCCATTGAAGACATGGGAGGTCATAGAGTGTGCTCTAATTTTCTCATGTCCAGTTGAAATAATTGGTATGGACTGTTTTTTTTTTGTTTTTTTTTATTGATGTAGAAATGCATTTAGTTCATTTTTTCCATGTGTCCACTGATATGTTTGTAGGTGGCCAGGTTGATAATGTTCCTTGATAAATTCAAGGAGATTCTACAGAGTAAAGACTGTTATTTACTGCACCCAACAGTCATTTTAATTGCTGAGATGGTCTGAAAACATACAGATAAAAATGGTAGAACCAGGAAAAATTAAGATGTACACAAGTAGTGTGACTTAAATATGTGGCTTATTTTGTGTGAAAGTTGACACACGTGAGGATGTCCATTTTTAACAATTTTAAAGTATTGTTTTAAGAATTTAAAAAAGTGAACAATTGTAAAGAAATGCACAGTGTGAAGATGACATTTAATATGTGATTTTTTTTTTTTTTTTCTTTACAAAGAAGCTACACATGGCATGTGTACATTAAAGCAAATGTAATATTTATTAACTCAATGCACCACAGCACAATAAAAGAATAAAGTCTTATATAATCATATTGAAAATGTCTTCTAAGAAAAATTGTGATGTGATAAAGTATCTTTTTATTATTATTATTATTATGACAATACACTGACAGCTGATGCATTTTGTCAATTTTGCATAAAATACGATCTCATATAATGAGAAGTAACAAAATTATTAGTTTAATGACTTACAAGAGAGGCAGTTAGTGACTTTGAACTTTTTGGTCCACCAAAGTCTTTTTATAGTCTCTGAAGACTGGTTTGCACATTTTAATATGTATATTCAAAAGTACTTTTAATAACATTTTAGCAGTGTTGGCCTCATGTCACTTCCTTGCCACATCAGGGAGTGAAATCTAAGCAATGGTCTTGTCTCAGAACTTCCTTACTCTTCCACTCCACTAATCTGAAATGCCTGGATAGGTGAAAACAATATGGCCGACAGTCTAATGTAGCCAAGTGCTCCACACTGCTCTAATGGAGTACCTTGTGTGCCTTTCTGGTCGTTTAATATGGATGATTTCAAACACATTTAGATTCACAAACGAAAGCTTCTCGTAAGATCCTGTGAACACTCTTAAAGTTTTAACTACTGAAGTGGCTCTGTATAAATCTCAAGATCAGCTGTTCACTCAAACATGCATATATTTGAATTCATGTATCTTGGCATTTGTAACAAATTGAATGTTAATTAATTGGTCTGTTAAGCATTATATAATGTAATATTTAGTGAAAAGTGGCTAAAAATTCTACTGAAATATCATTGATATATTCTACTTGACCTCATGTTAACCATACTACAAACCGTGACGGCAGCATGCATTCAACCCATGTTTAAGCAACTTGTGTATATTGTTTGAAAAAAAAACAGCTGTCTTTCGTAAGTTTCTCAGTTCAGATTTTATAACTGCTTTAGTTTGTCTTTAATGGAATGTTCAACTTTGAAGTGAACTTGTACTGATTCACTGTTTATTAGTGGTTATTTATTATTAGTGATGTTCCAAGCAGTTTTACAAAAATGCGAAAACATTTACTTGAATTTTATGATGAAAACAACGTTACTGCCAATTGTATTGTACATATTATTTCTGTATGATTTGTTTTTAATCTTAATAGAAGGTGCTAATAAAGACATTTTTAAAGACATCTTTTGTTCACATTTTATTGTAACACATACTGATAACAAAACAAATGATCAATGTTCTTTTCATCTGTTATTATTAATAATGACAATTATTGCGTTTCAGATATTGGAATGTGTTTTAAGTTTAAAACCATTTTAAAAAACAGTTGTGACTTAACCACACTTTTTCCATAGACATTAAACATTAATTACGTGCTAGAAACTGCACTGCAAAACTAATTTCTTAGCGATAAATTTGATCTGTTTTTTTCACACATTTTTTTTGTCGTCTGTGGTTTTTAAAATTCAGCATTCAAAATGTTAAGGCAAGTTGGCATTAATTTCTGTATAGTACATTACCCGAAAAAAATTATGCTTGTATTCCCAGCTTTGAAGAACATTAATAAGACTAAGTAGCACATCAAAGCATGTCTTGTCATAATAAAAAGAATCACTTATTTTAAGGTCTTTATTTCTTAAGAAAGAAACAAAGCAACACAACCCTAAAAATAAAAGTATTTTTTCACAGATAAAGAGGCAATCTCAGCCTGCTTTCTCAAGTACATTATGCTCTGCCTCAGATGTACAGCAACTCACACACACACTCACTCCCCCCGCTAAAAGATGCCCAGTATATAGGAAAACTCATCACACCTTACGAGCACACTACAAAAAAAAAAACACATAAAACCCCATGACGACAGTATTTATGATCTCCACAAACCATACATACTGGGAAGTCTACAAATTAAGACATTTATAAAACAAATCTTTCTCTAGTACAGTGAGTTTACATGTCTTTATAAATGTATAGCTCCATGCAAACAGGCATAAAGAAAGAAGTCTTCAGGATCTTCTTAGTATCGTCCTGCAAAACACAAACATTCTATTAGAATGAGTCTACATTTAAAATGTCCATCACATGGTACATGATTCAGTGGGCAAATGGGTGAATAATGGGATTTCATGAGTAATGCACTCTAGAAGCTGTGGCTTATCGAGCAGGCATGCATTTGGACATATGTGGAAAATTCAGATTGCTCAAGGCTTTTAAATCCACTCACGTGGGCTGTATGAGCGAGATCTTGAGCGAGACCTGTACCGGCTGTAATAAGGTGACGGAGAGCGCCTCCTGCTGGAAAAGAGAAGAGATTAGAATTCATAAGAACCTTCACAGAAACACTAGAAATGTTTGACACACTGAAGTATATATTCAGTGTTACCTGTATCTGTAGTCATACTCGTCATAACGGTCGTATCTGTCGTAGCCACGATCGTAATACGAGTCTCGTCTCCGGCCACCGCCGCCGCCGCCGCCACTGCTGCTGCTCCCACCTCCATTACTAAAAGAGTCACATTTGAAGTGTTAGTACAAACCACCCATACTAGTTCAGCTTATTTGTCAGAATGTTTTTTTTGGCCTGCAAAATACTCACTGTGTGGGCCGACCCATGTAGATGCCTGGTGTGGGGGTGTGTGGACGTTTGGTGATGGAATAATCCACCCTGATGCGCCTTCCATCCAGCTCCATGCCATTAGCCCGCTCCATTGCCTGTAGTGAGGGATAAATGGTCTGTTTAGACAGGATATACAGTCATAGAGCATCTAATAACATTTGAGTGCTCAATGAAGGTCTGAAAAACATATGAATGAAAATGTCTTAGTGTTGTTAAGGATTAAAGGGATGGTTCAAATGAAAATTCTGTCATTATTTACTCATCCTCATGCCATTCCAAACTTGTACGACTTTTTGTTGAATGGACCATAAAAGATGACATTTTTATCCATACAGTGGAAGTCAATGGACACCATAACTACTTGGTTACAAAAAATATCGTATTTTGTTAATGCACTGTGAACAAACAAACAATGAACAACCTGATTTTTACTAACGTTAACATAGATTAATAAATGCTATAAAAATATACTGCTCATTGTTAGTTAACAAATGTAGACCGATTTTTTAAATTGATCATCCAGACTGATGTGTGAACATAACTAACATATTGAATCCTTTCAAAAGAAACATTCACTCACAAAACTGACATTACTAGTGCATTGAAGCAAGTTTTACTTGACATGAGTGCAATATGTAGCCAATTAAATATAAACTGTAATTTTCATGACTACTCCAGTCCTGTAAATCACAAATTGCCTGATATTTCCAAATTTTACTGATGTACCGAAGTCAATGTGTTCACTAGATTACAACAGGTAATCCGAAGTTGTCCTTAAGATGCCATTAAGTGGATCACTAAACCGCTTAGACTGAACTTGCATTGGCAGGTCATTTCCAGCTGGGGATGTACCTCTTTGGCATCGTCGATGTGCTCAAAGTAAACGAAGGCAAAACCACGAGAGCGTCCCGTTCGCTGGTCGTAGACAACATTGACACCGGCCAAAGGGCCGTAACGTGAGAAGACCTCTCTCAGGTCTCGCTCTGTTGTGTACAGACTGAGACCAAACACACCCAGACACAAGTTCGGGTCTGGATTGGCCTGTAAGAGGGACAGAGGTGTCAGCACTAGTACACAGGACAAAAGATTGAGAACACCAAAAATTGAGCAATGACCACATAAAACATTGCCTGTGTGATTGAAATTCTGCATTTAACACTATTGAACTGCACACAAACAATTGTAGCATTTTTTACACAAATATTACTAATCATACTGATACGTAAATACTCAATTTACATTATCGTATCTTTGATGGGGGGAAAAAAGCAAACACATTGTAATTCATTTCTTTACCTCCGTTTGTGAACCTTCAAATTTCATACCATAGAAAATATTCACATGCAATGACATTAAAAATAATTACTGGATGTGATGGAAAGCAGCTCAACATTTCTTTTGTATGTAATAACCAGTCTAGGTTCCTGTGTGTTTATTGTTACACCCCTCCAACAGAGATGATGTGCCATTTTTTCAGGAAATACTTCATTGCTTTCTCTGGTGGGGCAGCAAATCAACATGACTGCCTAATTCTCTGAAATTTCTCCGGGTCACTGTGTGACAGTATTTAATAACCCCTGTTAAAGAGATTTTGATGCAAAACCAAACATTACAGCTTTCCGTCCAACAAAACATGTCTTAGGGCATCACAGTATGAATATGGTCATTGCATGAGCTGTCTGAAGGGCTTCACAGTCACTGCAGGAAGACTAAGTGATTTTTAAAAACCAAAAGTCACCACATGGACTTCTTAACCCCTTTAAAAGGCAACATTGAGACTTGTTTGGTCTAGTGGTTATTGTTAAAAGGTTAAGAAAGGTCCACATACCCTGGCGTCACCATGACTGTGCGAGTCTTTTTTGGAGTCTTGGCTGTATGAGCTCTGTTGATGTAATAAGAAGGAATGAAAGGGGTTATTAAAGACAGTCATGCTTGTCCCTGTGAGGCTGTGATGGGGGTTTGTATGCATTTTGTACAAAACTGAAACACACCTTTAAGACTAACAATTAAAGAATCACTTTAAAAAATACATAACATGTTCTTGATCTAAAGCACTAAGTGTAGGGTTCAAAATCAGATAACCAAGCCTACACTCTCAGAGAAAAAGACACAAAGCTGTCAATGGGGCTGTACCCTAAGGTACAAAGACTAAAAAGTACACCTTTGTTTGATGCTTATTTACCCCCAAATGGTACATAATTATACCTTAATGGTAAAGGAAAAAGTACCAGCCCAGTGACATTTTGGTACCTTTTTTTCTGAGATAATGTCAAATCTTTTAATTAACAAAAATGGGAATTAAAGTGATTTCAAGGGATAGTTCACCGGAAAATTACACTTCTGTTATTATTCGCTCACCATCATGATGTTATAAACCTGTATGCCAGTGGTTCTTAAACTTTTTGACTCAAAGGTCCCTCACTGTCCAACACTATATCCCCCATACAGACCTTATGCATCAGAGAAACAAGTGCGCAGAATTTTAGAATTTTGAACTTCCGTTTTTGCGGTAGCCCTATAGCATCACTGTTGAAAAGTAATTAGCTGGCGAAGTGAATTTACTTATTGTAGAGTAAACAAATGTCATCATATGTATTGTAAGCGGATGCCATGACAAATGTGATTTTTAAAGGGGTCATATGACGTTGCTAAAAAAGAACATTATTTGGTGTATTTGGTGTAATGAAATGTGTTTATGCAGTTTAAGGTTAAAAAACACATTATTTTCCACACACTGTACATTATTGTTTCTCCTCTATGCCCCGCCTTTCTGAAACGCATCGATTTTTACAAAGCTCATCGGTCTGAAAAGTGTCTTTTTACGCGTTGATTATCTATTCACGAACCGCTTGTAACACTCCAAAGAGAAAGGAAAACTTGAAATCGCATCATATGACCCCTTTAAAACAAGCGGTTCATTCATAAATTCGAACAACCTTTACCTTCACGCTGCGGAAATACAAACAGAAAGACAGAAGACAACAAGCGCAGTGCTGAAAAGGGGCAGAGCTACATAAGCTCTATAGGCTATAGGCTCTAAGATATTTCCGGTATTTCTGCTGCAAGTATGACAAAGCTTTTTCTCCATCTTTGTTTATTAACAAATATTAATGATATTATTCCAAACATAATATCACCAATAATGACTAAGATATTTCCGGTATTTCTGCTGCAAGTATAACAAAGTTTTTTTCAAAACTTTTTTAACAGTACTTTGTTAACAGTAACTGGAAACATCTACATATTAAATTAATAAAGCATAAGTAGTTTTTTTTTGTGACTGCAGAAATTTCAAGAACTGTATGTTTTCCTATAATAACAATTTTTATTATGGAGGAAGGGGGTATTATTGAAGTTTTTCTTTTCAGGATTTTAATTTAGAGTTTTATTTTAATACATTAATAATAATGTATTAAAATAAATATTTCTGGATGTTTGTTAAGGCACCCAGCCACTTGTCTATGAACCACTGCTGTATGCTGCCATTTATTAAAATAAAATATATTCATAAAAAATATAAATAAATATCATATAGGTTTGCAACCATATGATGGTAAATAAACAATGACAATTTCATTTTTGTGTGAACTATATTTTTAACAGCAACTGCAGTAACAGTAGTTGTGGTCCCTCTAAACTTAGACTCCTATCCCATGACACTCACCCGACTGCCAGTGTGTCTGCGGCGGTTAGACATGGGCGATGTGCTCTGGCTCCGTCTGCGTCGGTTGTCAGGGCTGTTGGAGCGAGAACGAGACTTCTTCCGGTGGGAGTGAGACCGAGAGCGGCTGTAGCGGCGATTTGAATGGCGACGAGAGCGAGACCTGGAAAGGACCAAACAGAGTGAGATACACCAAATAAACAGAAATGAACTTGCTTTTCAAGAAAGAAATGGCTTCATGACATTCAGCTGATGTATGAACTGACCTGGACTTGGAGCGGGAGCGGGATTCAGAACGTTTGGCTGCTCGGGAAGGGCTGGGAGAGCCAGACCTGCTCTGCGTCTTGGGTTGGGCAGGACTGCCCCGCTCCGATTTGGATGGCGAGCGGGATTCCTAACATCACAGCAATGTGTTACAACATTTACAAGACGAACGTTCACAAAGCAAGCACACTCACGCCACATACATAATTGCAGAAATCCAAACATTCACTTTATTACAGCTGTGGAGGAAAGTGTTAGAATTACTTAAATTATATCATGGAATAAAAACAACAACTAAAGTTAATAGTTGATGCTTGTTCTTTAGCCGAATCACCACAGTAAAGCTACAAACATGCAAATGATCATCAAGAAGAGATTAGAAAGACACTTGGAACACAAATTCTGCATTTACTTAACCTACGGACTCATTCATTCTTCTGTTTTCAGTATATGCTATTCCTTTCTCTCAGGCATTTTATTCTTCGGTCTTCATTTGTTCAGTTTTCATTTTTCCTCTCCTTTTCCTTTCTTCACCCCAATATGAAACCTCGTTTCTGCTTTAGACACATAACGCGAGCGTGCTTCTATCTGACCGATCTTCCGTTCTTTTCTCCCCTTCCCACTTAACCGTCTGCTCTGTAAACATTTTCTCTGTAAAAGCCTTCTTTTATCTTGAATATTCTTCCACATTCTTGGCCTTAACTCTTCAAATCCTTCACGACCAATAACCTTAATGAAAAAAGAACATTCAGAGCAATTAAGATCAAGGGAAGTTTAGGCAAAAAATGAAGTGAACTATTCAAATTTCACTAACTTACTCCTTTTGAAATACAGATGTTTGTTTGGTTACATAATCATATGGTGTAAGAGAGAGAGGGTAAGGAAAGATCAGAAATGCTGGAAAGAGAAACCAAAAGTACTCTGGCTGCTATTGTGTGGATGCAAACTCGTGTTTTAACACGTTAAAACACTTGTAAAGTAATTTCCTAATCAATATCTGCTACAACAACTGTACTAGTGTAGGGCCGGCTATTAAAAAAATCAAAAGGGCACATTGTTATATATAAGAATAAAAAATAAAAATAAAAATGCTGGTAAAAACAAAAATTCTGGTTGAATTGCCATGTTCAACACAGCAGCTTATTTACATTTATTTGATATTCAACATCGTAATGGACTTCTCTAAAGACCTAAAGTGACATATTAAATGTTTAACGAATTATTAGCCGATACGTATGTATCAGCTGATCTATCTGTGCAGTTAAATTGTAAATAAACAAAAGAAAGGGGCAGTTAGCTGTTCACTAATCGATCATTACCGCAAAGAGAAAGACAGAATATTTGAAGTAAACGGCAGAACGGTTTACACAAAAACAATGCTTACCCTCCCCTCGAATCGTGGCTCCTCGACATCACTCATTTTTTAAGTATTAAATGATTGGCAAAAGCGTGAAAATGAAGATATTCTTCCTCGAAGACTTCCGCTCTTAACGTAAGTGCAGAAAATGGCTGACCAGCTGAAGCGCGCTGTGAACTATGGGAGACGACTCAACAAATACGTCACATCCTCTTCAACATAGATACATAGATAGATAGATAGATAGAGTAAAAGCATACATGAGCACATTATAAGATTGTAATTTATAGATTATAAATCTACATATCCCCAAAAAAAAGAATGTATTGACATGGTACAACCATATAATTATTTGAAGCACTTTGAGGAAAACCTACTTATTTTTCCATTTTCATTTGATCACATTAATGGCACAAATGAATGTGTACACTGACACATCTGAAGTATTGTACGTGTTTTATTGTATGGATTGAGTTGTGTTGTCTGGTACAGTTCCTCCTGAAAGATTAATGCTGCGTTCAGTTTTGCTGGGATTCAGCTTCATGTACTAACAGCAACTGAGGTATATATATCCCCACCCTTAAACAAATCAACCTGCAATACAGCCATCAATCAACTATTCAGAGATTATTCTTTGGATCAGCTCGTTTCCTCCACAGTTCAATCGCTATCGCGTTGCAACGCAAGGAGTCTTAACAATTAAAAGGTGCTACGTGTAAATCTTCGCTCTGGAATCCAATTAAGTGCACTACACACCGTTAGCTAGCTGTGGAGATAATGCTGTACATGGTGTCTTTTACAGATTCATTATGAAACACTCATCCGTATATCAAAAATCAGTCTTCATTTAGAAAACACATCCTATCACTCTCTCATATCTTATATTCCATATTGCACATAAGTTATAAAATATATTTGTGATCCATGAATACAAGACAAAACAATCAAGCTGAAGCTCATGTGCACAACAGAAAAAGGATGTCTAAAAGCTGCTTCAGTCTAAAAAATACATATATATATATATATTTATCTCTGTATCTCAGTCTTTGCTGTAGTGGCGCAGATGATGTCCATGACCACAGTTTGCTATTTTAAAGAGTGCGGCTTATGTGATCTTTCAGGTGATTGTGGCAGGAAGTGCAGAGGGTTACTACGTCTGTCTGGTCGGTGAGCAGACATATTTTGTTTGGTGGATCTGGAAACGGTGACTCTGGCAGCAAGAAGAGTGCCAGCACCAGCAGCAGGATGGGAGATGTTCTGTATGGAGGCATTCACAGCAACTTCCACTTTCCCTTCCAACTTCACCAAACGGTTGAGAATATCATCTAACAGCACAGCAATTGTCCTCTTCAAGTCAGCTTCAGCAGAACAAGAGATAAGGCAAGGATTAGCATTATGTTATTTCTAAACCTCTTTCTACCACACCCATCCTGAATGCTAAGCAGCCTATTCATTCACATAAGCCAAGCGTCACAAAAAAAAAAAACTATGAATAAAAGTGTTCATTTTATAAACAAAAATGTAAAAGAACTTACAATAATAACACCTTTTCATTTGTTAACATCAGACAGCTACGTGCAGTTAACATGAAATACAGCATTACTACAGCCCTCATTATTTTTAATTTCAGCATTTAGAAATAATTTTCTAAAATCACAACTTGTATTTGTTAACATACAAGTTGACAAACGCACATTAACTAATGAAAACTAACAATGAGCAATATATATATATATATATATATATATTTACAACATTTATTAATATTTGCTTGTGTTAGTTACTAAAAATACAATTGCTCCTTTAATCAGAATTTGTATTTATTTATTTATTTTTTAATTTTGTTTGATTAAAATACACATATCCTAGAACATTTGCTACAGACTTCAATTTCGGTCTGTTCATCACACAACATTATTGTATGACTATTGCAAAAGTCATATGTACTGTTTTTATGATACATTTGTTGTTTTTTTTGGCACTATAAAACAGCATACAGGTAAGGCATGACATGAGGGTGATTAAATTATGTATAATAATAATAAATCCTTACCATAACCTGCCATGGAGGTGCCATGGGGCCCTGAAGGGTTCTGGTTCTCCTCGCTAAGGACTTTGACATAGCGATGGCTGAGCTCGAGGATCTGTTGGCGGAGCTCTGCGCTGCTCTGGCGCCGTGGTTGTGTGATGGTGTAGTGAAGCAGCAGCAGACACCAGGCCAGGCCGAAGACCACCAGAAACACACTCAGTCTGTGAGACATGCTCCTACGCAGCACACAGCTCAGCATGGCAATGCTGCAGGTCTGATGGGACCCGGGTTAAGGGGATGGGGTGGGGACAGGTTTATAAGAGGGTGTCGGTGTCAGGTTCAGGGCTGGGAATAATTAAGTCGTGAAAAAGCGGAGTGGAGGTTAAAATTAGGAATGGGGAGAAAAGCCGGTAATAGGATCGCAAGTATTTGTTTAGCCGTTTTGACTACGAAATTAACAGCAAGGAAGATGGATGGATTGAAAGTAATTGTCTATTGCTGAATAGGCGTCAAGTGCAAGGAATACCTGTAAGACACAACACACAGACACACACACAAAACAAGCAGAAATTTGTCAGAATAATTGTATTAAATGGCTATAGTTACAGTTAATACACAAAGCTTCAGGTTTCAGTTTGTATGAATAAATTACGTTTCCATCCTCAAGTGAATAGAAGCCCTGTCATCACTCTCTTCCTCTGTGGTCACAGTGCTATTCTCCACCCAATCACAAATCACTCAACCAGATGGTGCTTTACATCAATTAATAACGCAGGGGGGAGAAATACGACCACTTTTAATCATCACATCCCCACAGAAACAGCAGAACAATATTAGTGAAGTTAAAATGTAGCATTTTTGCATATTGATTATATTAGTCAAGATGAAATCAATATTGTGACTGTTATAATCGAAGACTGACCAAAGTGCAGGGGATTTACACTGTGCTCCACCCTGTCAAACTATTGTTTTCAGCTGTAATGCTGTCAAAGTATAGTCACATGAAATTTAAGATGGGAATTACAGCATAAAACTGGGTTAAAGCTCTGAGGTCAGACATATCATGCCTTTGCTGAAAAGATAGTGATTATTAGATAAACAATGTGAGAGTTATTCATTGACTCGTTTAACTGTTGATGTTATCTTACAGCTGCTGTAGCGATATTGGCTTGGAGAAAAGGTTAGCAATAACAGAAAAACAGGACCACTGATATTTGGCATGCAGTATAAGCAAATGTATATAATCAAACAGCTTTTAGCATTCTGGCTGAACTCATATCATGCTTGTACATATGCTCGTTTTATCTTTTTCACTCGGTTCTCAAGGTCTGCAGACTGATATTAAACATCTTAACGAATCGCCTGTACTATTGCACGCACTCTATTATCGCTTTAAGACAAGGCCGGGTGTGAAAGGTATTGAACAGCTGGAACAGCCTGATGAATCTGCTACTGTAACATAGCTAATATAGAAATTACCTTAAATACTTTGGTCAAGTTGACGGATTCGTGGACTCCAAATCGTTGACATCTTAGCGCATGTGCATGGCGGCCCTAGCAAGCCTATCTTAAAAAATCCGTAATATTAAAACAATATTCAAACTGCAGCATAACTTCAAAGCAAGCGTCTCTGTATTAAGTATGAAGCTAATTATTTTTGAGGTAACGCCTTAAAATAAATGCCAGATTATCATTCGGAGCCGACTGTGGTGGCGAAACTAGGAATACAGAAAATTTTCAGTAGTATTTTTCCCTGCGGCGACAACACGAGCTATTGCGTACGACGTCACGATACGCACCAGCGACGTCCGGTTATGAATGGATTCTTCTTTTGAGTCGAATCTTTTCAATGAATCAAATTCACAAAACGATTCTTTCACATTGGACTGAACAAATCGTAAAGCCCAAAGAACTGTCTCTGCTAAATGAATTTAAAATATGCTTGTGATGACCTTTTTTTTTTTTCTAATTTTTTTTTTTATTATTATTTTGTTTATTTTTTTAATGATTATTTTATTGTTTTTTATTTTATTATAATTGTCTCAATTTGTATTTACAAAATGTGAAAATATGAGAAATATGTGAAGAACTTGCTGTTGAATTTTGTAATTTTGAAGTTCAATACAAAAAAGAAAAGAAAAGAAAAAATTCACGCAACGAACCGAATCAGTGTAATGACTTGATGGACCGAAAAGTTGCAAAAGAAATGCAAAATACGAATGTTGTATGACTTGACTTGTTAAAAACTGAATGCAATATTTTTCAGCCAGAAAAAAATATTATTAATTAATGCAAATTAAGGTTCTAAATGACTTTATGTTTTATGAGCATAACATTATTACAATGAACATCTTTTAAAGAACTGTTTGAAGGAAACGATTCTCTGATATGAGTCTGACTCACGTCACTCACGTAAAAGGTCAAAGGCAGCATGGGAAATGTAGTTGACGTGTACAAATGTAGTCGAGATGCATAAAAATCGTTGTGAGTGTATATTGAATATTACTGATTAGATTTTTACATTATGATATTTTAAACTTTTTTTTTCTTATACCTAATTTAGACTATTTAGGGAAAACTTATCACTGTTGTTTCGTCGTTGCCTAGAAACACAGGCGCCAAGAGCAACCTTCATTGTAAACAAGTTGCAGTGTCAGTGTTGCAGCTCGAGAAGTAATTTATATCAACAGACAAATCTACAAAAAAGACTCACAATCGCAGTGGAATGGAAAAGATACACATCGACAAACATGCAACCAATGCAGTGGAGGCCTATTTAGAATACAAAAGGTCGGTTTGTTTGGGAAAAATCGGGAAACTAAAGTCTATTCCATAGACTGTAGGTCTATTCACGTAGTCAATGCAAAAATGTTTATTATTTTTATCTTCTCACGTACTATTTTTTTTTTTAAAGCTTGTCGAGTTTGAAAAAGTGATCATGTAATTCTCTATCATTGAATATCCTGTTTTGCAAAGGATTGTTGGGGAAGATGATGGAGGGAGGCTGTTTTCAGAGGAAGAGTACAAGAAATACAAAGAGACAGTGGTGCCAAGAAGAATACAAAACCGTCTATATGTCAGTTTTGGGGTCCCGGGACAGATAGACTGCAAACTGATTGGACCAGAGACACCTTGCTTCTGTACACACAGGTATGGATCATTGGTCATACACATTATTGATGTACACAAACAGATTCTTTAATAATTCTATTTCATTCTCAGGTATAAACAACACTGCACAGACTTTGAGGAGTTGCCAAAGGAAAGGCCTATACTCTTGCCTTGTAGGGTCAAAGGTTGTCAGTGTGTGTCCTATGAATATGTTCATATCAACGGCTCTAAACCAGTACGCTGTCAATGCAAACACACAACCAGTGAACACAGTGAAGCTATAGCCCATCAGTGCAAAAAATGTGAGTTTTGCACCATTGCATCTCCTATTATTAATTGAAAGCTAACATAATTCATCATGTTACACATAAGCATTTAATCAAACGTAAACAAATTTTAACCTGTTTACCTCCAGGCACTCACTGCACTGGCTATCGAAGTCCATTCACCTGCGGATGTGGTCAGCCTGGATATGCCCATGTGACGCTGGTTGAAACCACGGAAGAGCGCATGGCACGGGGGCGTCCGGTGGGCAGAGCTGTTCCATATGCAGCTATGGGAGGTTTAACTGGGTTCAGCTCACTGGTGGACGGCTACCTGAGACTGGATCCAAGTGGCGTAGGCAATACATGTGAACAGCACACAGAATAGGCTATGTGTCACCTAAAAGTGGTGCCACAACAAACATAATGTTAGCATTAGGTTAGCACACACCTTTAGAGTCAACATTATGCTTGTTTAATTATGTTATATTTTATGCTTTCTGTTTTGCCTGAGAGAGAATTCTTAATATTTGTCTAGTGGTATATTGCTTAATTACAACAAATACTTTTTTTACAGTGTGTATTTATTAATCATAACATTAATATAAATGTATTTATAGTATTTGCATACTGTATTATATAATAATAATAACAATAATAAAATTAATGAATAAAAGAAACTCATACTGATATTAAGATTAATCATTTAAAATAACCAGACCGAATTAAGACACATTAAAAATACATAAAATCAAGAAAATTTTCCCCAACGTTTTTTTTTACTTTTTCATTAAGTAATAATAATTTCATTGAGTTAATTCTCAATCTTTCATAATTTAATTTTTAATAAATACATTTAATAAATAACTGTAATAATTGAATACATTTAATAATCTTTTTATTTACTTTTTTATTTTGTATTAAGAATTTAGTTGAGTTAATTGTCAATGCTTCATGCCCCATACAAAATATTTAAACAAAAATACATATTTATTAAAAATACTCATGTCATTCAAGTATCTGACAGAATAAAGATTTTGGATTAAAATGTATATGAATATAAAATTAATTTAAAAGGTACATATTATGCCTGTAACTTTTTACCATTTCTTTTTAATAACCGTTTTTATTGGATAATTTTTAATTATCCTTTTTAAATTTCACTTACAGTGTAAAAATATATATGTTTAAATTGATTTAAATTGGTAAAATGACTGATATAGTTTCCAGTTTTGGCCAGCAGAGGTCAGTAGTGATACACATGCCTCTGCTTCACTTCACCAGCATTGACTTGACTGTGTGCGAGAGATGTGTCTTTGTTTTTAATGAATTGGCTTTAAATTGCTCTTCTCTACTTGCTAATGTTCAGAACAATAATAGCAATTAAAGAACGTAATTAAAAGAGTGTTTGTGCTCTATCTATGAGACACAGAGGGCTGCGTGCTCTGTGAACTCCGCAGGCTCTGTGGCTCGCATTCAATCGCTTCTGTTCAAGAAGCAGAAAGAAAGAAGAAACAATTTCACCCCTAATCATTGGTACAGTTCCACTAGAATGGTTTGCTGTATGTGCTGGGCATGACTAGCTCTGTCTTCCACTGTGTGTGTGTGTGTTTTGAATCTCAGAATATGTTTGAATGTGCTCCTCTGTTTTTGTATTTGTGAATGTTTCATGACTCATCCTAAGCTCCTCAAGATTCCATTAGATCGGATTCGTTACGACTTCCTCTTTATATGTTCATACACTCTTCCTCTGTTCTGATATGCATCTCCACTCAATTGCTCTCGAGAACATCTGTCTGTCTCATGAAATGCGCAAATGCGAGTGTGTGTGACCTGCGAGACTTGCCTTTGGTGACGTCGGTGATGAAAAAGAGACCAAACACAGACTCTACTCATTACCACACTTGAAATAAAACTCGCGGCTCATTGGTGGATGTTTCATCGCCACCAACACTCTGAAAATACCTCGCTGATTTATTTAGAAGTCTCTTTTGTGCTGCCGCTCTTTGCCTGGTCCTCTGTTTATATTAAGCCTCATTTAGATGGTATTATATTATACACCCTGCGCCTCTCTACCTCTTCAATGGTATCTTTAATTCGTTCCCTCTCTTTTGTCCCCCTCCTCCAAACCCCTCAGCTTCAAATCTTTAGTTACACAGGAATCAGTTAAAGACACTGTGAGCAGGAGAAAACATAGTATGAATTGGGTGTAAGTTCACTGGTTGACCGATGTTCACGGCAATGTTATACATTCACGAATGGTTCTGTAAAAGGATAATTCACCCTGCAAAAGTAAAAAAAAAAATAAAAAAAAATCGTAATTTACTCACCCTCATTTCATTCCAAATTATATGATTTTCTTTCTTCTATCAATCCGCAGAAGAAGCAGAATGTCCATCAGCTCTGTTTCATTCGATGATGAAAGTGATTGGTGACCAAGAGTTTTGGTGAATAACATGCTTAAATTTGAGACTGTCCTCACACAAATGGCTTCAGAAGGTGTATGGACTACTTTTATGATTGTTTTATGATGAGCTGTGTTCTTTCAGGAGCTTGACAGCCTCTGGCCACTATTCATTTCCACTGTGTGGAATAGAGCAGTGTGAACATTTTTCAAAATATCCCCATTTGTCTTCTATGGAAAAAAGAAAGTCATACTCAATAGGAACGACATGACCCATTAATAACTGCCCTAATTATATGTTTCTTTAATGATTTTGGTAACACTTTATTTTAAGGACCAATTAGTTGCTTATTAGCATGCATATTACTAGCATATTGGCTGTTTATTAGTACTTATAAAACACATATTAATGCCATATTCCGCATAACCATATTTTAGGTCCCTTAATCCTACCCAATACCTAAACGTAACAACTGCCTTACTAACTATTAATAAGCAGCAAATTAGGAGTTTATTGAGGCAAAAGTTGTAGTTACTGGTTAGCTAATTTTTGAATTTTTAAGAATTTGTCCCCAAAATAAAGTGTGACCATGATATTAATAGTATAATTAGATTTTGATGTAGAACCCTTTATTATGCTCAATGTGTTCAATTACAGAACCCTAAAAGCAGGGTTCCAAGAGCCCTAATCTGGTTCATTTAGAACCATTTGTCATTGGAGACTTAAGTTTAAATGAATAAACCTGTAGTGAAGTCTAATTTTATATTTAAATTGATAAGATAAGTTTAATATTAAGAAGTCCAGCTCATAAAATCCCTTGAGGGTTTCTTGATACTTGCTTAAAAGTAATTTTGTCATTTAGATTGCCACTTTGGCCACAAGCCAGGCCCTGTGGCCGCTTGGCTGCATGCTTTCAAATAATGAATTGCATTTAAAGTTAAAATATCTATATTTCAATTAGATGAACTCAAAACAAGTGATTTGTTGGTGGGAAGATTGCTTTATTAAA